TACAGTAGAGCGTCGATTTTCCGAAAGTCAATCATCCGAAAGAATTCCAGTCGGCAAATTTAAATTTTCGCCAGAGCTGTGGTGCTTCAATCTTAGGCTATGTCTTGGGCTACTCAAATATTTTACGTTTTTGATACTAAATTAACATCTGAAGTATAATTTTTTATTATTTTTATATTTTTCAATATATTTATTTTGTTTGTACAAAATAAAAAAATAATTTTTAACGATACAATAGTCTTTGTTAGGCTTAACATCGACGAAAATTCAACGCAAAGCGACACGCAACGGATAAAAATTTCGACATCAGATACGTTAAGCTATTTTTTCGTACGTAAATCAGTTATCCGAAATATCAGTTATCCGGACAACCCCAGTCCCCAATTGATTCGGAAAATCGACGCTCTACTGTATATATATAGATATAGATATATAAAATTCAATAATAATTGAAAAACTTTTGTTTTTTAGAATTTAAATATGAAAAAGAAATTTGGTTCTTTATTCAAATGTTTTGACTTGTCTGAAAATGATTGCACTTTTACAAATCAATATCAATATCAAATGCTTATATTTGTATTACTTCATAACATAAATTTGGTTAAAAATAAAATATTAGTTTGGAACTTAATAATTTATAAATAATCAGTTTAAATGTAATAAACGTATTGAAAATATGAAAAAAAATTTTAATCAAAATTAATATTAATATAATAATTGTAATTTACAAACGAGTAAATTAGTTTTCTTTCGATGGATATTGTTTCGACCTTCATCTGTCAATACTAATTGTGAGCTCTAATTTTACTTAAGACCTATTTTGTTTTAATTTAGCAGTCTTCTGTAATTGTTTGCAAACATTTACTAAGTAAACATATCCTATTGAGCATTACTACATTGTTGACATCGAGATAATCTTCATACATGTTTATATTTAAAGTCAACACAAATTTTTATTATTAGTATAAACTAACCTCTATAATACTCGGTTAGAGTTGTGTCTGAGGAAAAATCCCAAATTAGTGTTTGTTTGTCATATCTCTCGCGCCGACTTGTTCTTACTAAAATATAGGCGCAGATATTTTATTACGTGACGATATAGAATATACTGATCGTGATTGGTCAATTTTGAATCGCCTCCGATTTTCATTGGCTACGATTCAAAATAGAATACAATATTTTTCTCGTTGTACCGTACAAAGCCGTATTATTTGCCTTTTATAATACTAGCCTATTTAGTTCATAGTGAAGTGGCATTACAATTATCTAAAATAGTATTCTTGATTTCATCGCCTCCAATATTAGATGAATGGATTATCATTTTGCATAATGCAAAGTATGAACCATTGAATCGAAGGCATATTGATACCAACATGCCTTCGATTCGAACTGTAGTAGTTCCATTATTACTAATTTTCTCCTCCTCCCAATTTATAAATTCTTTACGACCTTCTGTACTGTCAAATCTCGGTTTCCGAACTTAATTCGTTCCTAAAAGTTGTTCTCAAATCGAAACAAATTTTCCCATAAGAAATAATATAAAATGGATTAATCCGTTCTCGTCCCCAAAACAAAATATCTTTTTACCTTTTTAGTTGTATTTCATGCATAAAAATGTCTACAAATGCAATATAATCTAAATATATAAAATTGCTTGTCCTGACTGACTCACTCATTCATTCACTGATTCATCATCGCCCAGAGCAAACCGCTTAACCTAAAGAGGTGAAATTTGGTACACAGTTAGGGTACGTCATGGAAACGCACACTAAGAAAGGTTTTTTCGAAATTCCAACGCGGGGGGGTGAGGGGGAGCATTAAGTCTTAACCGGAAAAACGGCTTCTACTGCGCTATTTTACATGCGATTTTTTGTTTTTATCTGCGTTTTAGTAGGGAATGCCATGGCAATGCACA